CTTAATTTTGTCTAGGCTAAGGACTTGGGGAGTTTGCATTGGTTAAAAATATCAAACAGATCTTACAAGTTTTGGTGAAATTCTAAGCTAAACACCAAGAAAATTGACAAATATTTCTGTTTTGTTGAATTTATATGATGGATTATCAAGCAAAAGGGCACGCATATGAGTTTAGTTTTATATCATTTGGATATTGCTTTATCATCAGCAAAACTTCTTGGGTCATGATCCAGTGGGTCTGTGATTCCAAATCTCATAAATATGGTTTTACGATGTCCAGTGTGAGGTTATTAATATTAATTGCTTGTGGAGTGTTCAATTTCTCCACCGCTCCTTGTGGTTTATTATGCATTCTGTGGTTGGAATGCATGGTGTTCCTGAGACCATGTTCTCATATGCATTTCCGAGTTTCAATGTACCATTTTGAGAGGCATAGTGGCTCTTTGGCCTCTGGGCAGTAGTCCAGAAACAAAAATGTTTAGTGTTCTCATTACGCAATTTTTTTCCTTTGTGCTCATAAATTTTTCTCTGTGGGGATTTGTAGCAGATGTTCAATCCCTAAGGCTAAGTTTCCTTCTATAAATTGGAGATACTAGTAGCACCTCCCTTGCGGGGTTGTTGTACAAATTAAACGTGCAAATGTTTGTAAGATCATGAGCCTGATGTGTGACATTGGGTGAGTGCTAAATACGTGTCATGCACTAAAGCCATTAGTACTCTCAGAATTAGGCAATGTGCTACAGCAAAAACACAAACTCTTTTGGGGAGCATACTGTGAATTTAAGCAGTAGAAATTGATTCTTCCATTGTTCTGAAGGCCAGGAATGTGAAATCAAGATGTGAGCAGGGCCATGCTCCCTCTGAATGCTCTAGGGAAAGATCCTTCCTAGCCTCTTAGCTTCTCATAGAACCTAGAGTTCTCTGCTTGGCAATCTCTCGTAGGTCTGAGACCAGCGCTATGATTCTTTGTGGGTCTCTCTTTCTCCTTGCAGGACACCAGTTGTTACTGGTTGAATGACTTAACTTGCTCCAGTATGACATTCTTATTTTAGTTCTAATGACGTTCTCATCTTAATCTAGCTAGTTGTATCTGCAACCCCACCCTATTTCCAGGTAAAGTCATAAGCTGGGATAGAGGGGCTTAGGACTAGCACATATCTTTTGAGGGGGATATGATTCCACCCATAACGATGAATTTTTCATTTTTGTCTTTTTTTTTCAGGATGTACACACAATTTTACTTGCCCTGAGAACATTGTGTTTCCCTGCCTTTAGTATATATATTTTTTTATCCCTCTATAGTACCTAGCCCTAGACCTCAGTATCAGGTAATAAATAGCCCACCCTTAAGAGGTCCATTAATTTTTAGAGGCCACTAATGCACTATCGAGTGAAGTGGCCTGCTGGGGTCTCTGAATAATATCCTTGAAGAGTTAACATTTCTTTCCAAAAGGGAAAAGTAGTTTATTCCTTTCTCAGTAGTATTTTCAGACCCATTAAGTTCTAAGTAATGGTAAGGCTTCTATAACGGCTTTGAGGAATACACTGCATTTTTGATTCTTTCTCCAAAGTGTATGCTGCAGCTCTAACATTGAGCTGCTTACTCTTTGATTCCCATCAAAGAGAGTAATTCCAGTGAAGGTTAGCAAAGTCCCCTTTCTGTCTCTCATATTGCCTTTTTATTGTCTGACTTACCAATACTGATAATAAAAAAAAAGCTAGATAATCAAAGCGTCTAATAAAAGAGTTGAATAAAATAATTAAACAAAATGAAAATCATAACATCTGTCAAAGTCTTAAAGTGCATCCTGCTCTTTTGATTTTTCTGTCAGTGTACATAGTTAAAAGAAGTGCTAATTATTAGGGTAGCTCCTGGGTTGTGATTAGGAAAAAGCAAGATGAGAAGAAATAGGATGATCCTTCAGATACAATGAATTTTCAGGATCTCTCATTTACCATATTGCTGGAAATGAAATTCAGAAAACCCCAAAATGGGAAGTTGCTTGTGAATTTTAGTAACTTTTAAAGATTTTGAGGCCTGAAGTCTGTCTGCCTGTTAATTTGAAAGAATGATGGTTGTCTCCCTTTCACATTACTCTTGCAATCCTGGGGGAAGGCCGAGCATTCTGTAGCTCACCTTGTCTCCTTCTGTGTTGGTCACTGATTTTTACCCAAGTGGAAAATTGTCTGGTTGCTAATTAACTCACACCTAGGTTTTCAGGTGCAATGTTACCAGTGACCTTTATCTCAGAGAGCTCTTTGGTCAAGAACTTCAAGATTAATACCCGGTTGGGAGAAGGACTCACTTTGGCATCTACAAGGTTAAAACTCCAGAACTTCTTAATTATACCAGGCAAAGTTAGTCTAGGATGCAAATTATGATTTTAGGTACAAAAGTTGTTGATTTATGGTACAACTTGCTAAATGTTAGAGATACTACGCCCTCGAAAACTGCTACAAGGAGAAGATATTGTGACATGTCTGCAGAAGATTTTTGCCCAAGGTCCTCCATTATTCTGAAAAAAATGATTATTTTATTTTATTTTAGTCTTTTCTAGTTACACCTGATCTTGGTGAGGTTTTTTTTTTTTCTTTTCCCTCTGCTCTTGGCCAGACTGCCATGCTTTACATCATTAACCCTAAACTCTAGGGAACTGATCCCCTGACAGCATCTTTGATATTAGATTAGATCCCTTCCAGGCTGCATTTAATTGACTGAGCTCCTAGGGGGAATAGCTGGCTCCTGTTCCCTCTCTCTATTTCACTTGGCCACCCTTCTTTAGTGGCTGGCTTGCAGATTCACTCTGCCTCCATGAAGAAGGATGTGCAGCAGATAAAACAAATGCCTGTGATTCAGAATTCATTTTTTCCTTCTAATAGCGTTTCTACAGATACACCTGTCAATGAGCCCCTTTGTTCTTTTTGAATCCTCTTCCTCCAAGTAATAAGAAAGGGACTCTTTTCCTCTCATGTCCTTCACATCTTACCTCATGTATTTTATTAAAATGAAAGGCGAGAGAGTAGTAGTAATTAAAATGCCAGTTCACTTTCCTTGGCTCAAATACCTCCATTTCTATTTTTAAACTTTAAAAATCTTTAATTTTTAAATAACTTTTACATTCGGAACATTTTTGCTGATCTTTATTTTTCCATGATTCACAGAAAACAGAAATACTTTGTTTTCCTTCAAATATAAAAATAATATTTGCCCAAAGTAAAAAAAAAATTCAGAGAGATAAAAGTATGGAGAATAAAAAGATACCCATAAATAATAAAAATTATTTTTCCTCCTGAAAAAAAGCTATCATTTTTTTGGTATGTAAGCCTCCATATTATTCTGTGTATAGATTGTCATTTTTTTTGGGGGGGGGATACTAGGGACTGAATTCAGGAGCACTCAGCCACTGAGCCACATCCTCAGCCCTATTTTGTATTTTATTTAGGAACAGGGTCTCATTGAGTTGCTTACTGCCTTGCCATTGCTGAGGCTGGCTTTGAACTTTCGATTCTCCTGTCTCAGCTTCCTGAGCTGCTGGGATTATGGGCATGAACCACCGTGCCCGGCTAGAATGACAGTTTTTAATGGTAATATCATTCTCCAACAATTAAAAGCTTAAGTGTAGGAGGTAATAGTTAAAATTCACTTCTACTTCTGTAAAACATGCCTAGTGACTGGGTCCAGTTTGAACTGTAGATTTGTAATTGATTTTAATATTCAAAATCTGGTGAAGTCACTGAAATCTCTCCAAGTCCCTTTTACCACCCCAGTAGATCTTTGAGATATTACATATGTTCTCTGGTACAATGGCTTGTGATGTCACCTCCTGTGTTTCTTCTCCTTGATCTTCGTTCTTGATGTATCTTCCATGACACTGGTAGGTCAGGGTGAAGACCACATAGATGTGCTGAGTTTGGGCTTTATTACTTACTGCTTGTGTGGCCTTAGGGACATCTCCTCATCTTTGAAATAGGAAGAGTGCTGATCACTTAAGTTTATCTTTGTGTCTGAATAATTATAATTAAGAGATGACAACTGCAGATTGAAAATATTTAGAAAAAACTTTAATCTGAACATGGGTAGACATTTTCCTTATCATTATTTCCTAAACAATACAGTTTAATAATGATTTACATAGCACTTATGTTATATTAGGTATTATAAGTAATCTAGAAATGATTTAAATGTATGGGAGAATGTATGTATGTTATATGTGAAAAATATGCCATTTTTATATAAAAGATTTGAGCATCTATAGATTTTGGTATCTGAGGGTGGTTCTGGAACTAATGGATACCTAGAAACTATTGTATATTGATATTAACTATAATTACCATGTTGTACAGTGTATAGTGTTTCTTGTTATCTGTTGGTTGAATCCAAGAATGCAGAACCCATGGATACAGAGGAAATGACTGTATCATGTATATGAAAATTAAGAAGAGGTTTAAAATGATCTTAACACAAAAAGAATGGTAAATATGTGAGGGCATGCATATGCTAATTAGCTTGATTTGTCCATTCCACATTGTACACATATTTCAACAGAACATATTGCACATAATCACAGCACAAAATTTTATTTGTAAGTTTTTAAAATAAATAATTAAAAATATTTAAAAATCCCTGGACCTAAAATTTGACTAATTCATTTTCATTTATGTGTAAGATTATATTGTCTGTGAACAGGAACAATTTCACTACTTCCTTCCCCAATTCAATGTCTTTTATGTCCTTTTCTTGCTTAATTGCTCTGGCTAGGATTTCCAGTACTACATTGAAAGTGGTTAGAGTAGGTATGTTGGTCTTGTTGCTGATCAGAAAGGTTCAGGGCTTTTTGGATGGAGACTTTCTAGATATGCCAATGAACTAAAAAATAATTTTGAGTCAGACAACAGAAAGCTGCTATCACAAAACTCTCACATATTACATTTGCTTCTAGAATCTCTAAATAAGATAAAGTGGTTAGACCAATAATACCAACCTCCCTCTTTTCTCCTAGGTCATAAGAAGAAAAAACTCTGTGAGGACTTTTCTGTCACCTTCTTTCTGGTATGTTATCCTTGGAGGAGAGGAACCCAGCAGAAGCTTTCTGCCCAGGTTAATAGAAATTGAGCAAGAACTTTTAAATTCTCTGAGCTTTACATAGTCTGGAGCTGCTAAAATTTTTGTTACTTCTACTACATCAAAACAAAACTTCAAGATCCTACTCAAATCCTTTAGCTCCTCCGGGGATAGGAAAGATGTTTCTGAAGGAATCATAGCACCAGTCCAAGTGTAAGTGGCAGCCATCCCAAAGCCTGGCAAGTCCAATACGTGAAATAAATGATGGGAGAAGAGGAGAAGGGGGCTTGGAAACACATGGAAGTACTAGATATTATCTTTCTTGGTCCAAGATACCAAATAAATGTGCTTTCTCCCACCCTTTGTATCCAGTTTAAAATCTGCTTCATTTACTTAAACCAAATGGAGGTGGGAAATGATTGGCATGAGGTCACTCAGGGCTGTCACAGGTACACCTGTGTACCTGGTGCCTGTGGGCACTGAGGAAATGACTCATCATGGTGGATTTTCCACCACACTTTAGGGCCTTCTTATTGCTTTATTCATATCCTGTCCCTGAACCTCAAATGATTTTTGTCATTCTTCTGAAACTAAGAATTACTTGTTACCTCTCCTGTCTTAATCTATGGTGATATGATTATCCCCAAAATCAATGGTGTTGGGTCCCCTGAAGTGGGAATAAAAGGTAGGTCTGTTCACAAACAGTTCTCTCTAATTAGGCTCTCTAGTAGGTTCCCTTTTTGTTTTAGCTCTTATTTTCCTTTTCCATCTCTAATTGTCTCTTGAAAAAAAATCAAGAATAATTCTTCTAGGGGCTCTATTGAAGGGTCACTTAAATCCCATTGTCCCATTTCATAATTTACATTCTCTCCTTATCTATGCTCATTGGAGACTCAGGGGTTTCTGGAATGTTGGGTTAAACAGCTTCACTCTTTTTCTACTTTTGGATGACATTGTCATTTATCTAAATATGTATATTTCATGTTTGTTATTTGCCAAAAATTCTTTTAACATTGAGCAAAAAAAAAAATTTCCATGTCTTAATAAAGAACTTAAATCAGTGGGCGAAATAGGAAGTAAGTATTGACAATAAGTAAATATGTAATTATTTTAGCAAGGATAAGTGGTAGGTGAAGAGAGTCCCATTGGAACAGTAAAAATATCAAGCAGAGAAGGTGACATTGATCACAAATGGGTTGAAATGAGGGATCACTCTGTGCCCAAATCCTGGGTAAAGAGAGTTTCTGATGGAGGAAACAAAGTATAAGACCAAAGTAGGAGTGGGTTTACTGTATTCCTTACACAGCCTGGAAGGCCAGGGCAGCTGGAATGTGAGAGTAGAGGGTCTGGTGCTCACAAGACTCTAGAGTGTTAACCACAAGTCAGATTGTGCAGAGCTCTGTAATCTAGGGCAATGACTTTGTGTCCTAAACCTATGAAGGACCATTCTCATTTATTTAAGAATTTCTTTTCCAAAGTCCTCAGCAGAACAAGGCTTATCATCCTTTCTCCTTGGTGATCTACCAGGGTTTCTCCCATGGTATCACATCTTCTTGAGTGTACAGATATATTTTTTTTTCATATCTTAAAATCTATAAATTTGGGAAGTGATCTAAATTGAGACTGTCTTAGCAGAATGCTATCATTTATCATACCACTTGTCTTCTCTAGTGGTAAAGTAAATAATGAGACATCTTATAATTGATCATATCTTGATTTAGTGAAATATGGTATTTCCAAGGCTCAAAAGTGCCTCACAATTGACATCCTTCCCATCTCCCCAGCTTCATGGTAACCTGGTGAAATGGAACCACAGTAAAGAACTAGTAAGCACCAAGGTGATTTCTTATGGTGAGAACGAATGCCTCTCAACCACATGCGAGTGGGATTGAGTCCTGCTTGTAATTGTGCATTTTCAAGAAAATGACTGACTGGAAATAGTGATGTAACCCATATCCTTGAAGGGAGAGTTCTTCCACTAGAGAGCTAACTGAACCACTAGCTCACTAACTGTGTTACACAAAGCTAATTGAACCACTAACTAACCATGCTACTTTATTACTCTGATATTGCTGTTGGTTTTACCATTCGAACTCAGCAGATAATAATGAAATATCTCTGGACTTGACCCATTTTTTTCCCTATTTTTATACAACTTCAGTGATTCTCACAATCTCTCCAGAGTTCTTTAAACAATAGTTGGGGCCCCTATTTTTTGAATGGAGCTACTGAGCTCATCTGTTAAAATAATTGAAAAAAAAATTGTTTTCTTTCTTTTTGTTCTACAGATGCTGAACTGCTTGAGGGCAAAAATGATGTCATTTGTTTCTTGGATGCTCTATTTGAATGCCTTGCTTGCTCATGCTACCATTCAATAAAAATTCAATAAAAATTGACTAAATGGACAAAAGGAGTCATTCATGGTCTATCACCTTGAGTAGCTCCCAAAGAAAGAATTTGCTTTCTAACACATTGAAAGTTACTAGTTATGTAGGACAAGAGATGTATGTACCACAATTTAGACATAGAAATAAACATACTTGGGGCTGAGGATGTGGCTCAAGCGGTAGCGCGCTCGCCTGGCATGCGTGTGGCGGCCTGGGTTTGATCCTCAGCACCACATAAAAACAAAGATGTTGTGTCTGCCAAATACTAAAAAATAAATATTAAAAAATTCCCTCTCTCTCTCACTCTCTCTTTAAAAAAAAAGAAATAAACATACTCTATGATTTTTAGAATGGATTGCATCTTATTCTTGGATTCTGTTTCTAGATGGTAACAGAAAATATTTAAGCTTCATGTCTAAAATAAATTCAAATTCTTCAGGTATATCACTTTCTTTTTTGGGTAAATATTCAATCAGTTCAATGTTAGGCAACTTATCAAGTTTAATTTTTTTTCTTAGGTGCCTTCCTTCTTCCTTCTCAAGATGAAGTGATGTGGCAAGGCATCTTGATTCCCATGAGATGGTCTCCTCCTTCCTGGTTGGCCTCCAGTGACGTGTTGCCCATGGAGAAATAATGCTAACACATAGCAAGTGCCACTTCATTGTTTGGAGACACCATATTGGGCCACATTGCCATGATACGAGGAAACCAGGCCCTACAAAGCCAGCCGAGACTAGCTTGGGTTAAGGTCTCCAGCCAGCAGACAACTCTGACCACCAGACATGAGTGATTGAGCTTTCATACACATCCAGACTTAAGTCTCCAGTCTTCTTGCATAGCTTCCGGCCAACAGAGGGCAGGAACAAGCCATTCCTGCTGTGTCCTACCTTAATCTCAGACCCACAGAATCCATGAGCATAACAAATGATTGTTTCATGTCATAAAAGTTTGAAGTAATTTGCTCTGTGGTCCTTTGTCCCTCTTTTCTCTACCTCCTCCTCTCTTTCAAAAAATTATTTCAAAGATTCATAATATTTGAGGGGCAGTCTTAAAGACTATTTCTTCAAAATTGTATTAATGAATATTTTAAAAATATGTTGAGAGAATCATTCATGTTTTCTCTTTTAAAGGACTTTTGTTAGAGCTGAATTATAAGTGAAAAGATTTTTTATTTATTTTTTTAAATTCAGGACAATTTCACCAATTTCACCCCAGGCCAAAAGCTATTTTCATTAGAGAGAGAGAGAAAAAAAATGTTTCTCATTTCCTCAAATGGTATTATGTGCACCCAAGTAAGTACAAAGTTGAAAGTCAAAAGTTGTGATACAGCTGGCTGCATTACTTGATCTCTATCTGAATGTTAGTCGCATGATTATTGGAGTTCGCTGTCACAGCAGGGTGGGGAGAGGAGGTGGCAGCATCAAAAGGAAATTACATTTGCTAAAAAATATGGGTGAAAATGTCTCTGGCAATTACCACAGGTCATCTCTGCTGCACACAGCAAATGGCAGAGAAAAAGGGCTTCCTGTGGGAAGGAGCAGAGAGTGGGGTTAGAACTCTGCTATTGTGATGTGTGGAATCAAAAGGGACCCCCATTATGTGGGCTTGGAGTAAACAGCAATATTAGTATAATGGGCTGTAATAAATTACTAGTGATTTTTAAGATTTCTTTTTTGTTCTTTCAGGTCAGCAAAAATGCCATAATCTTTTCTTGCTTTGTGTTGTGGGCACTACCCTTTTAGACACAGATGATTCCCATTCTATTCCAGCTGGCTGCCTTTAGGTTTTGAATTAGCACTCAATATGTTTTAATTCAATTTGGAAACTAATGGATGCCTGAACTTATTTAGCCCATCCATTCAAGCAACTTGAAGTGCAATTTTGATTGAAGCAATTTTTCTAATTACAATTTTAATCCTTCATTTTTTTTCCTTCTATAACTCAAAAAATTAATCTCTGCTACATTGATGACTACAAAACTTTAGGAAAGCAGTAAAGGAAAGTAGACGCTAAATGATTCTTTCAGATTTATTTCCCAGTATGGTAAAAAAGACAAGTATGAGATAATATTGAATGGTTCTAAATTATAAGTCTGTATATAAACATCGTATTTTTACCTATATTTTATGGCTAGACTGGGGTCAAGTTGTATTTTCTCTAATCAAAACAAAACAAAACAAAAAACCAAAACACACTTGAAATGAAGACATAACTTGACATGGTTAACCTATCAGACAGGTGTTTCTCTTGTTACCTAGCTCCCAGGGGTTTAAAAAGGGTTCATATATTTGCATTTTAAAGACAAACTCAGCATCTTTCCACTTCATTAAGCTAAGCATATATTTCCTATGTTGCTTTGCTTTGCTGTTTGAAGGGCTCTTCTTTCACAGTGGGAGAGAGATGCTTGAAGCCAAAACACATAGGAAGACACCACTCTCCCCATAACAAAAAACAAGAAAATGTTATTTTCCTATGTCATCAAGAGTAAAATGGCTGGATGGCCTTTCAGTTGAGAGCCATGTTTAATTAAGGCGAATGGGGTGGGGTGGGAGCTGCTTTTCCATTTCCTCCTTTTGGGATCCTGAACGTAGGAATGGCCGGAACAGAAATCAACCTTGGATCTATTTTCCTTCTCTCTGACAACAGCAATCATCCTGAGTATGGGCACATGAGCTAGGCATAGAATCTTGACCTTGTTACTCAGACACTGGGAGAAAGCTGCTCACACTTGGGGATGGGGTGCATGTTTGGCAGTTCTTCCTACGTTTCCGGCACTCTAAACAACCAATTTTACTAAGAAGAAGTGAGACATCAATGCAAAGAGGAGCAGAGTTGCAGTGACAGAACATGGGTGCAGAGAGGGCATGTGTGTCTCAACAGCATGGAGTTGCACATGCTTCTCCTCGGGTCCCAGATTTGCAGTATTCCCATCAAATCTATAAATATGCCAATACATGCGCACATTCTTGTTTTGTCAAGAAAGGACTGAATTGGGTTTCTGTGATTTGTGACTAAGCCTTATTACATTTGTTGGGAGTCGCCCTGGCTCCAAAGACTAACTTCCCCATCCCCCAAGAAGAGCCGTCCAATGGTGAGCCCTGCTGGCTCACATGATCCTTACCTACCAATCAGAGCCCTGCTGGCTCACATGATCCTACCCACCAATCAGACTAGCCCTGCTGGCTCACCTGATCCTTACCCTCCAATTAAAAAGCACCCCATGCCAACTGTCAAACCACCCCTGGCTCTATAAATATGCAGAGCTGTTCCTCAATAAATGGGCATTTGCTCCGACGACAAGCCTTGTTGTTCTTTCAATATTGACCTGAACAGATAGGGATAGGGATGTTCAGAGGGGTATATTTTCCTCTATCATGAGCAATAGATGGTGCTAGCCATTCATATTACTATTTTTTTCCTGTATCATCCTTTTTCTATAAATTAATTCTTGGAGATATTTATTAACAATCTACTGTGTCCTGACTATTAAGGTTGCAAAGAGTTCTTACATGGAGCACAGATTCTTTGGAGAGACTGACATGTTAAGTAACTACAAAATAAGTCTAGTTTTCCAAAATATTCTTCATAACACTAGCCTAACAATTTATTTCATGAAGAAAGAAATCCTAGTTTCATGGATTTCATGACCACATACATTTGGAAAATAATTTTTTTTCATATTTTTATTGAAATGGAAACACTTGCTCTCTATAGGACTTATTGACATTCTAAGAAACTAGAGCTCTTCAGAAAGTATTTGAATAGATAGATATATCTATGGGAGAAGAGAAATGGAGAATTAGGTCACTTTTGGAGGGGACAGAAATGGCTTCACTAAAGACATAAGAATTTGTTATTAATGAGTGAGTCTGTCAGCTCAGGGAAGGGAAAGGATATTCCGAAAAAAAGTTAAAAAGATGAAAAGGTAGAGAAATGAAAATAAGACCACCGTTTACTTGGGAATGTGAAGCATTTCATAGCACTGGACAGTGTATAGGAAAAAATAGCAAGAAGAAAGAGAGATGAAAGAAAAAAAAAGACAGGGAATGGGAAGAAGATATTTGGACCACATTGCTAGAGTAAAAAAAGAATTGGATATCACTTCTCTTGTGAGGCATTAATTTTATTTCCCTTGTAAGGTTAGCTCTTAATATTTTGGAAAATTTCCATCTGAGGTTTTAAACATTTTGCGGATGGCAGAGTGAACAGAATAAAATTGAAAGATTTAGTTTAGAAAGTATGAGTTTTGTTTTCTTTCAGTCCCTCAAAGTGTATCCTTTCCAATATTCTATCTTACTTGTATACTTATACAGAGCCTACCTTTAAATTGGAATGTGCTTGGTGATAAATAATTAATCTCTTTTTTTTGCATTTTGCTAAATTGTATTGATTATCAATAATCAATTATTGGAATTGATTGTTGGAATATCTTTCTCCATTCCATTTTGCCTACTGAAATCCTCTAAAACTAATTTAGAATCCCATCTCCTCTCTGACAGCTCTCCTACTATCTCCAACCTACTCATTCACTAGGACACATGTTCTGAGTACCTAAAGTTGGCTAGGCACTGGAAATCTACTTCCCTGTGGGAGATCCCGGGATCAGTGAGTTTTGAGGCTAGTGGAGAGACAGAAAAGCAAATAGAAAAATTATGATTAAATACTAGATGGTAGGGAATTGCCCAGGTGGAATCACCAACTAAACATGTGGTGTCCATCTCTGCCTGTCACGTGAAAAGTCTAAGGAGGCTTTCTGGAGGAGATGATGTCTGAAGCTCAATCAAAACAGATAAACAGGAATCATCAAGGTATTAGAAAATGAGTGAGTAGTTTTGATTTGCATTTCACTAATTGCTAGAGATGTTGAACATGTTTTCATATATTTGTTGATTGATTGTACTTCACCTTCTGAGAAGTATCTATTCAGTTCCTTGGCCCATTTATTGATTGGCTTATTTGTTTTTTTGGAGTTCAACTTTTTG